CGTGTTCAGTGACAGCATCGCCTGGCACAACGACGCGGGGCTCCCCGTGTACGCCCACATCCGTCCGAGGGACGTGGAGGCCATCCCCAGAGCCAGCACCGGCCCCGGCAACCGCAAGGTGCGGGCCCTGGCCTTCAGCAGCAAGAACCAGGAGCTGGGAGCCGTGTCCCTGGACGGCTACTTCCACCTGTGGAAAGCCCGGAGCACCCTGTCCAGGCTGCTGTCCATCAGGCTGCCTTACTGCCGAGAGAACGTGTGCCTGACCTACTGTGATGAGTTGTCCCTGTACGCGGTGGGCTCCCAGTCCCACGTCTCCTTCCTGGATCTGCGCCAAGGTCAACAGAACATCCGGCCCCTGTGCTCCCGAGAGGGCGGCATGGGTGTGCGCTCGCTGAGCTTCTACCACCACATCATCACCGTGGGCACGGGCCAGGGCTCCCTGCTCTTCTACGACATCCGCGCCCAGAAGTTCCTGGAGGAGAGGGCCTCGGCCAGCCCGCCCTCCTCTCCAGGGCTCGCAGGGAGGAAGCTCAGGCTCACGTGTGGCAGAGGCTGGCTCAACCACGACGACCTGTGGGTGAACTACTTCGGTGGCATCGGCGAGTTCCCCAACGCGCTGTACACCCACTGCTACAACTGGCCCGAGATGAAGCTCTTCGCCGCGGGGGGGCCTCTCCCTTCTGGCCTCCACGGGAACTATGCAGGCCTCTGGAGCTGAGGATGGTCGCCCGCCGTGTCCTCAAAGTGCCCAGGCCCCCCTCACTTTCCTCTTTCACTCTATGCGTGTGCTTTTGACTCTGTGTGGCTTTTCCAGGTGGAAAGTGCCCAGCTTACCTCTACCTCTGCTTAGTATATTAGGCAGAGAGGAAAAGCTAGAGAGTGAGATGTCATTCAGGTAGTCAAAAGTTGGCTTTAATACTTTTCTACAGCTGCCTAACACTGTCATTTTGAATTCTCATACAAAAAATTTTGACTAATTCTTAATTGTGTTCGTTCTTTGAGTTATTTACATATTCTCTCTTTAATGCTATGCAGTCATAGTTTTACAATCATGTGTATTTCCTATTTCTTCTTCTTTTTTTAACCAGTATTACAATGGCACTGTTTTCATTACTTTTCACGTCGATATTAAGAACATTTTTTAAAACAGGGTTTGTACATCTGTTCTGAAAAGCTAGCCATAGTTTTTATAACATTGTTCCAATTGGAAAATACATTCCAATTTCTAGACTACCCAGCTTTTGGAAACGTTCCATTTACAAATTGTAATCTTCATGTTTGTAGTTTGTGAGTTGTTGGTGCTAAGCACTGTTTTAAAAACTATTTACTTGGAAAAAGTCATCATACAATCTTGTTTTTTTGTACCAAAATCTCAATTAGTCCAAACACTTTAGGAATGTCAGGGTTCTGCTGATTGAATGTTTAGAATTTATCTGAAAACCTGATCAATCTTTTTCTTCTTAAACACTTACTTAAGTTTTCCTGACCTGTTGTTAAATAGATAAATGAATATGTATGTTTTCACTTCTTGCCTTAGTACTATCAAGACCTGTGAATATATTTGAATGTTTGATGTTTAAGGAACTTGCCATCATTCAAAACAAGAATTCCAAGTATAAAAATACAGAATATATGGCAGGCTGGGTAGAGTGTGCACTGATCCAAGATGTAGACTGGATATTTTTGCTGTTGCTGTTTTCAATACCAAATATTATATTTGGACATACTTTAAATTTTCTAATACTGCTTAACAGTTGTCACACATACACACACACACAAAACTGCCAAGAAGAAAAATGAGCCCAGTCCCTACTCCTTCTGAAAAAGATTCTTAATTTGTAAAGTACCATTTATTAAGATTTTTTTTTGGTCAATTTCAAAGATTCTTACCTAAAGTAGAACAAGCATTGTTAAAAAGTAATGATGTTATGACCCTCAGTGGAATAATATACAATTATCAAGGACACGGGATGTTTATTTCAGGAAGATGGGCGGGAGAGTAAAAATTAATGGGATTATGTGGAAGAAAAGTACTTTGGGGCTTAGACAAATATGAAGCATGGATTGTTAGGAAAACTGGTTGTACTTCTCTGTATATGAGAATACTGGAAGTAAGAAGGGAGATGGGCCCTTCCTCATAACTGGCCTGGTTGTGCTGACCTTGCATTAGTATTGTGGCATGTCTGTTTTTCCTTAAAGCACTCAGATGCTGCCTTGGTGTCCATGCATTATATGCTGTTCAAGTGCAAATCTGAACCAACTGAATAATATAATGAGTGGTACTAAAAGTAAGTTCAGAAATACAGCGGGGAAAAGCAGCTTTTGTTTACAGAGATTGTTTTAGTAGGTTTATATAGTTGTTGTTCTATAGCAGTAAAATGTATTTGTGTGCATGTATATTGTCCAACTCAGTTATAAATGTCTTGAGAGCAGAGAATATAACTGTCATCTTTATATTCTCCCATTTCTCCACTAATGCCTAGCAAACCATAGGCAATCAGTAAATACTTACTGAATGAATGTATTTGCCTCCAGAGACCTAAAGTTCAAGGCTATGAAAAATAAGTAAATGCATAAATACAGAAATAAATAAAAGTTTACTCTTAAAATAGTATGGAATCCTGTTGTGTTTTCCCACCTTTTTACCTTAAAATGTGCCCTAATTCATTTCCAGGTCAGGCTTTGGTGCTTATCCATTCATAACATTCCTCACGTAACGCCAGAAGATAAAGGAAAATGTATTCATTTTAGATGACACTGGAATTTAGTATTTTCATCTGGAAATATTTATATTTGAAGATTTCTTTAAATTTTTTTTTCAAAATTAGTTTTGAAAGATCTTTTTTTTGGTAAGCAGTTCTGTTTGTTTGTTTGTTTGTTTTTTACTATATATACATTTTGCTAAAAACTTCTTTAAACATTACCCAAGAACTTCACCAAAGTATTCCCTGCTGGTCTTGTAGGTTATAGGGTATTTTTATAATATTTTGTCATCGTTTTGGAACTTTGGGAGAACATTCTCAGAGGAAATGACACTTTCTACATGAGGTGGTATTTTAAAGAAATAGAAGGAACATCTCTACTTTGATTTGTTCTCTGGCTTAGCCCTTAACTTCACCATTGACTTAACTTTCTCATAATTTAGGGGATATCTTCCTGATGCCAAATTACATGGTTTGCCTTTTTTTTTAAAAAAAAATAGATAGCCTAACTATGTATGCATTCATATTATGTAGAAGTTTAGTTATTTTGAAATATTTCATAGTTCAGGGTCAAAGTGATCTACAGAAGTACAATTAATTGTGTAACCTGTGACTGTGAAATAAGTGAAAAAATAATTGTAATTGAAAAAGTAACGGTGCCAGCATTCCGAGAAACCCATACACATAGTTTACTTAAAATATACAAGGGAATACATACCTTTATGTACAAATTACCTATCACTGTTGTCTGAAAAACTTTAGTTACTTATAACTATGCATAAAAAATGTTAATTCCATTTATCCCTAACTACATATTCACTTTTCCTCCTCAAGCATGTTGCTGAATCAAAAGTTTGTGTTCCTCCCCTTTGCTCTCTGGATGAGCTCATTTCTAAATTTTCTTTAAAGGGGGAGAAAGAATTTACTAATCAAGGACATCCACTAAAATAAATTGAGATGACGACTACGGAAAAAATTCATCTGTTAAATACACTCAAGCATTAATGATAAACAAAATTGAATTCTCCAGAGGTTGATTTTTATCCAGCTGTACTCAGCGTTGAACAAGTTGTCAAATTTTTTCCATTAATTGCTAATTTAGAGTGATTTTAGAAAGCAATTCACAAAGTCCTCCTGGATGTTTCACTGACAGCTTCCTAATCTCTGCAAGTCTTGGGTAATCCAGCTACATTAAACATGTTGCTATATGAGCTGCTCAGGGATGCAGTTCAGTGAGAACGACATGTACTAAAGTGAAAGGAAGGCTGCCTGGGCCATAGGTGTTTGCTTTAAGGGATGTTATTTTAAGAGCTGCTGAAAGGGCTGCCTGAAAGTATTTCCCACTACTGGCCTGCTGCAAACCCAGGAACATCTAGCATTGGAGTGTGGCATTATTAAAAGGGCGGTGGTTACAGGCGGTTGCCACGAGAAACAGGCTGATCCTTAGGAAGGAGGGCTCTTTAACTGCCAGGTGTTTTTTGTTGTTGTTTTTTTGTTAGTTTGTTTTGCACAGGCAATGGTCTTTTCATATTCCCTTCCCCCATCTTTTTTATTTTTTCTTTTAAACTCACAATGACATCCCAGACAGAATAAGCACTTGACTTCAAATTTCCATAGTGAATGTTCTGTTATTATCTTAGATTACCTCAGATTGTAATGCCGTTAACATTTAACTCCCCCTCTCCTCTATTTGAATGTGAACTGGCATCCTAACACCTAGCACAACAGTCTGCACATGTATGGTGCTGGGATGTCCAGTGCAATGACTAATGTGCTAATTCCTTGGCGTTGATTATTATATCAGATTAGTTGACCAGAATGTTCTCGAATGTAACATGGATTAGGTTGATGGATGAAGAATACCCTGAAACGGGCCGGGTGGTAACGATCACGGCAGTTCACAGCATGGAGTAAGCCAGGTAGGGCAACAGAAACTGATGACTTAACAGTTTTGTAGAGGGCTGATACTGGATCTGGCACATCAAGATGAAATGGAATAAATATTATTTTAGAATCAGAAAAACCTGGGTTTGAATCCCAGCTCTATTATTTGCTTACTGAATAAACATGGGTGTGTTACCAAACTTCCCTAAACCTGACCTTCTTTTAGTAATCTTTCTACTCCGAGCATTTAGCACTCTGCCTGATACACACAAGTGCTCGATTGATAGTAGTTCTCTTTCTCTCTAGATTCTTACCAATTCTGTTAGAGAGCGTGAGTATTTTTTCTTACTTGATTATTACAGTTTTACAAGGAAATTTTTATATACATTGTGGAAAGTTGGACATACAGAAAAGCAAAATGTAAGAAAACAAAACAACCTCATTTCCACCAGCCAGAGATGACTACTTTAACAACTCAGTGAATATTTCTCCAAAAATTGTTTTCTCTACATATATGTACCCATCTATGTAGTCACTACTAAAATGAGAATATTTTGCACAGGTTAGTTTGTAATTTGCTTTTTCCAGTTAATGATTCCATCTTTCCATGGCAATAAATACTGATTATAACTATTATTCAGGATGTTTTTTAATGTGTCCAGGTTGAAACTCAAAATGAGTGATTTGATGCACCACTCAGGAAATTCTTCCCGTCACCAGAAATCATTAGAATTACATAGCAGACATTTAACCCAATATAAGAGTGTATACTTAAACCTTAAAACAAGTGAATTATAAATGTTTATTGTCTAGATGTTCAGTGATGTTCAGATATTGGAGCATATCAAAGCCACTTGTACATATTTTAAAAGTGAAAGATGCTCAACTCTCAACTGAGACCTACTGAAACAGAATTTCCTTGAAAAAAAAAAACAACCTTTTTATGTGAGTGTTTTCCAGTTAATCCATTCAAACACAAAATGCGACAGCAACAACAAAACAGGACATCTGCCGTAAAGGCTTATGATGTAGCAGAGGAGAAAGAAACCTAATACATTAATTATAAAAATTCACTAATGACAAGAAAAGATAAATATAGCATTAAGGGTATATACAAAGTACATTGATAATATGGAGAGAATAACAATTAATTCTGCTAGAAAGGTCAGGGAGAGCTCCCAGAAGAGGCAATGCTTGAGCTGGGTATGGAAAGTAAAATAAGAGTGGAAAAAGTGTGTTAATATTGGTTTGAAAGTACATTGTGAGTGTCTGGAATGTGTGAGCACATACATACATATAGGACTCTTAAAGTTTGACCTTTGGAATTTGAAGTGCCTGTGAGGTTTCTAGATAGAAATGTCTGGTTGGTAGTTAGAAATATGGATCTGGAGCTCATAAGAGAAGCTAGGGCTAGAGATACAGATGTGGGAATCATCACTGTAGAAATGGTACTTGGGAGAGACTGGGACAGGTGCAGTATCTAAAAATCTAGGTCTTCTGGTTCTCATTCTAAAACCCAGCTATATTTAATAGGTCTGCACATCTGTATATTTATATATGCATTATTATTTGTCTGCACATATAATTAATGACTTCTAGGTGAATGATCAGATGGATGTTTGTTTAGTGAATATTAAACACTACTTAGTGACCCCCAAAAGTAATACTTCATCTTTTCATTTGGTAATGATCAACTTTTAAATTTCCCCAGTGCAATCCTACTAACCAAAAGATCAGGGAAATCAAACTAGTGTTGCTGTTTTAAATAAACAAAAATCTGTATTTTAGTTAGATGTTTTTGCATCCTTTGGAGAATATAGGTCATTCTCCAGTTGGGCAAGAAGAAAGCTAAATATTGATGGTACCTTCCTTATAAATGACTTTTTTGTTTTTCCATTTTGGAGGTACAGTTCACTGAAGCAAACACATTGATGATGTCAATGAGAGTAATGGTGCTATTTTCACCCTATCTAATGCCATTATTGTGCCATTCTCTGTTTCAACCTAAGGCATTAATGTTTCATGTTGATTAAATTTTAACATCTAAATTGCCCTTTTATGTTACACACAAATGATAAACTTGAATGTTCCAGTCAGAGGGCAGAAAGTTTAGTTTCCTCTAGGCTCCTGGTAAATTTATCAAATAGCATCCCCCAGCAACTCAGAAATGGCTCGTTTTTGTTCCTCCTTCCTTACTAACCCAGAGCTATAGGGGTGAGTGTGTTTTGTTTTTGAATTATGCCACATATGACTAAAACTAGACCCCGTTTTACACAATAGACGCATTCCTTGACATCTGTACATGAAGCACATTTTTGAAAATGGAATCATATATTCCCTTATTGATTTACATTGTAATTTCAGAAGTGTCATCTTTATTATGGATTGATTTCCAATTGGTAGTGGTTTCTAACACGTTGCCACTGCCTCCACCTCTGAGGCAAGTACTTTCGTCTCCAAATAGAAGCTAAGTGATGTAATGGAATCCCCTATTTCAAAGAATATTAAAGGATACTTTCAGAATGTGATAAATTAAGCCCTCTTTCATTTGTGTAGAAAATGGGATTTCTTAAAATAGGGCATCCTGTAATTTGATTTATTCTGTATATATTTATCACAAGCCAGAGCAAATTCTACGATACCCTCATATGTCATGTCTAAAGGAGCTTTTTCCTTTCTCTCAGGTCTTTTTTTTTTAACTGAAGTATAGTTAGTCTACACTGTTGTGTCAGTTTCTGGTGTACAGCATAATGTTTCAGTCATATGTATACATATATATACTCATTTCATATTCTTTTTTCATTAAAAGTTACTACAAGATATTGAATATAGTTCCCTGTGCTATACAGTAGTACCTTGTTGTTTATATATTTTATATATAGTAGTTAGTATCTGCAAATCTTGAACTCTTAATTTATCCCTTCCTATCCCCTTCCCCCACTGGTAACCATAAGTTTGTTTTCTATGTCTGAGTCTGTTTCTGTTTTGTAAATAAGTTCATTTGTATCTTTTTTTTTTTTTAGAT